GCTGAAGAAAAAGGCTTACCTGAAGGGAACCATTGGATCCAACCCCTCACATTAAAATTTAGCTCAGCAACAGCCACAGTGAGAGCTCTCAAGATTAGTTTTCCCTGTTTGGACTCCTGTGTTGTGTTGCATAGGAGCAGCAGCTGTCAAACTTCGGATCTCGACAAAGTTCCTGGTCCACTGCCCCAACTGCTCATTAATGAGCACCCGTGATTAGTAACTGGGTCATTCCGCCGCTCCCTGGAGGCTTTCGATAACAGGGCAACTGGCAGCATAAATAATGAATACATTTATGCACACTGTGCATTTTTGATGCTGTTCTGTCTGAGGTTAAATGGCACCTGAACGTCGGCTTCATTTGTCAAATTGGGGGTGCAGAGGGGAAAAACGTGTGGGAGGGCCGATCCTGCTTCCAAGAGAGTCACTTATCCCCACTTGAGGGATTCCCCCCCCCCTCCCTGTTGAGAGATACGGACTGGCAGATTCATATTCATCTCGTGTTTTATTCATCGTGTTGCTTTTTTTTTTTGTCTTTGTTGTTCCACCCAGCTCTAAGAGTCCACAACTTCACTGTGCTTCCTTCCCATAACTCTACTTTTGTATATACCAATGATTCTGCCTACTCTAACTTCTCTGCAACTGTAGGTGAGACTTCCGTATGCGTTTCTTCACCATTTGCCACGTGTCGGCGTTTCTGATCAGGGTTAGGTTTGGAACTGGAGTTCTGTTGGCGGCTGAAAGTTGGGTTTACGTGTATTAAGAAGCTTTAAATATAATTGAGTACATGTGTTAAATAATCAGAGGTCATTTCGGGGGGGAACGTGGGGGAACGCAGTTCCCCCGGGTGAGGTGTAGGGGGGCGGGGCACATGATGAAGCCCCGCCCCCTGCTTCTGGCCGCCCTGCTTCCAGCCCTCATTCAGCCAGGAGGAGGCAGGAGAAGAGGGGGGGTAAGTTGCTTCCTCCCCGCCTCTCCCCACCCCTGCCTGCCTGGGGCCAGGAAGGGCCTTGACGGGGCTTCCTCGCACTCCCGCTGGCCTTGCAGGTCCACCGCCGGGCCCCTGATGTCAGGGGGTGTGGCATATGCTAATGAGTTATGCTAATGAGTTCCCCTAGCTCTTTTTCTATGAAATGACCCCTGTAAATAATATATATTGTGTTTTAAAAAAACAGAACTTGGAAACAGATCGCACAGGAGTTGCTGTGGTATTGCAGGTTAATTAAAAGGAGACCCAAGTAGGCCTGAGGCAGACATCACTTAAACCATGGTTAGTGCTAACCATGGCCTAGTTCATGGTGGGTAGCCATTAGGGTTGCCAGGTCTGGGTTGGGAAATACCTGGAGACTTTGGGGGTGGAGCCAGGAGAGGGCGGAGTTTGGGGAGGGGAGGGGCCTCAGCATGGCACAATGCCATAGAGTCCACCCTTCCATGCAGCCATTTTCTCCAGGGGAGCTGGTCTCTGTCAGATGGAGACCAGTTAAAAAAGCGGGAGATCCCCAGGCCCCACCAGGAGGCTGGTAGCCCTAGTAGCCATGTTGGTCTGAAGCAACAGAACAAAGTTTGAGTCCAGTGGCACCTTTAAGAGAAGTGTGCATTCACACGAAAGCTTATACCCAGAATTAAACTTCGTTGGTCTTAAAGGCGCCTTAGACATGTATGTTTTTGTGATGGTCATTCAAAAAAATAAAAGCTCACTTTTCTTTAAAAAACAAACAGTGATTAATAGGCATCCAAGTGTGGTTGCCAATCTGCAGGTTTGGGACTGGAGAACTGCAATTGATCTCCAGACTACATAAATCCGTTCCCCTGGAGGAAATGGCTGCTTTGGGAGGTGGGCTCTAAGACGTCGCATTCCCGCCGAGCTTCCTCTCTTCTCCACACTCGGCCTTCCCCAGATCTCCAGGAATTTCGCAATGCTTCATTGGCAGCTATAGGGGACAGTATATCTACCAGCCCTACTTTGGCTACAGCCCTAGAGGGGCCGTTGCTGGAGAAAAAGGGGCAGTTTCTACTGGTTTCATGGAAATGGGGATGCAGGAAAGTGGGATATGGGTGAAAAGCCGTGTCCTCAGGACAGTGTGGACTGTGAAAAGAATATTAAAAAAACAAAGAACAAAACTTGCCTCTTTCTTACGTTTTCTTTCTTCAGATATAGTAGAAGGAATGGTGAACAAGGGGATTTGCATCCCAGATCCAACAGGAGTGATGTTTCTCCTCTTTGGAAGCTACCAAAACTCTTGCATTATTAATCCGGAACTTTGTGAACCTGAAGGTTGGTATGCAGCCATTGTCAGTATTTGGATTGTCTGTTTTTTATTGCTCTGCACTTAAGACTGAAAGAGAGAGGAGACGATGCAACACCCTCCGCAAACTTAAGGCATCAGCAAAAACTTGTCTTAGGGAAGTTAGCTTTATATGAAAATGCCAGAAAATAATTTGCAGCTCCCTCCCATTAAAAAAAAATCCAAATGATGTGCATTATCTGTTATCCGAATGAATTATGAACATTTGCATATTAGTAGAATTTACCTATATGTGTAAAAAATACTGAGAGAGCTCCCCAAATGATTTCCAAAAAGCTATTCTTTTTCTTGAATGGCTTTGTTTAGGGGTATCTGCTGTGTATTTTCATAGCTGCCTCTTGAATCCATTCCATATTACTACCACCACTGAACATCTTCCCCTTAGGACTAAGTTAGATCTCTCAGGTCATAGGTGTTGTTGGATGGGAACAATTTTTTGCTTAGAATATCCCGAAGAATCCTTGAAAAACTTCATCTAGTCAATGCAGAAGGCCAAATGAATACAGGAGACTGTTGAAGGGTCCCTTGATATATTTTAAAGGAACATAAGAACATGAGAGAAGCCATGTTGGATCAGGCCAGTGGCCCACCCAGTCCAACACTCTGCATCGCACAGTGGCCAAAACCCAGCTGCCATCAGGAGGTCCACCAGCAAGGCCAGAACTCCAGAAGTCCAGAAACTTTTATGCCGCTGTTGTAGGGTTACTAGGTCCCTTGGAGCAGATGGTGGGGGATGGGAGGCAGACATACCAGGAGTGGGGAGGAATGCCAGAAATTAACGCGACATATCTACGTATTCGGAAGTGAGCCCGTTCGCGGGGAGGGCGGGTTATAAATGTAAATAAATAAATAAAAATACAATAAAATGAAGGCACGTTGGGGACGTTGGAGGGGCAATGCTCTGTTTTTTGGGCAAAACTCTATGGTAGAATTAGCTTCTACCATAGAGTTTTGCCCCCAAACCAGAGCATCGTTTTCACCAACATCCCCAGCGTGCCTGTGTAATTTCTGGGTTATGTAGGCACGTCACATTAATTTCTTGTGTTCCTGCCTTTTTTTTAGGCGGGGGGTAAGGGGGAGAGGTGGGGGCTGACAGTGGGAGAGTCCCGTCCCCACCATAGGCTCTGACATCCCTAAGCCGTTGGGAGGCTCTAAATTTGATTAGAGGAACAGTGGGAGGGAAGAGGGTGCGCCATCTTTTCTCTTTGGGTTGTTTTGTCTGCTAAGAGTTGTTCTCCCTAAGCTGGCTTTCATGCTACCAGCAAAATATACAGACTTTGTGTCTTTTCCTTTGCAGGTGGAGAAGCCTCCATAGTGGTGGTTTTGACTGGAATAACAGCCCATGGGGAAATAGTGACACATAGGGTTACCAGCCTCCAGGTGGGACCTGGAGATCTCTTGCTTTTACAACTGATCTCCAGACTACAGAGATCAGTTCCCCTGGAGGAAATGGCAGTTTTGATGGGTGTAGTCTATGGTATTATACCCTGCTCTGCCATCCCTAGACTGTACCCCCAGATCTCCAGGAATTTCCTAACCTGGAGCTGGCAACCCTAGCATCCCACCCTACCAGTTGCTCCAAAGAATGGGGAGGGAAGAACACAAATCAGCTTATTTTTACTTATGTAGATTTTATACCCTCCTTTTCTACTTGAAGGAGTTCCCAAGGCAGCTGTTCTTCCTTCCCCGTTTCTTTTCCCTGTTGCATTATGTTGAAACCATTTTCTAAGCTGCTATAAGCAATCTTGTAAGTCTGCTGGTGCCCCTGCTGAATTTTAACCAAGGTGTGGAGAAACTTTTCACTCAGGGGGAGAAGAAAAACATGTTTTCATGCATCATGTCATAGAGGGAAAGACGAGAGGCGATACTATAATGCAACCCCTCTCTTTAGCTTTTAAAGTAATGCTCCAGCTATGCCTGAGTAAATGCGCTTGGTAATCATGTAACTCTTAGTGCTGGATGGCACCACTTTCATTCGGAGTCTCAGACATCATTTTGGAGACTGGTTTATCGGTAAATATATATATTTCTGTCCTGAAGCATTTGATTATTTTAAACATCCCACTTTTCTGGCACGCAGCTTGCAACAACAGAGAAAAACAAGCAACTGGGCAGTAATGGACAGTCAATAAAAACCACAATGAAGTCACTAGAAAATGTTATGGGATTGTCAGAGCAGTCATTCTAGGATAAAAATTACACAGACTGTTTTTTTTTTTTTAAAGGAATAATTTTAGAACTTCCTGACAGTTAGAGCAGTTCCTCAGTGGAACAGGCTTCATCGGGAGGTGGTGGGCTCTCCTTCTTTGGAGGTTTTTTAGCAGAGGCTATATGGCCATCTGACAGCAAGGCTAATTCCGTGAACGTAGGCAGATCATGAGAGGGAGGGCAGGAAGGGTTGCATCCGTGCTTAGTTCTTGTGGCCCTTTCTTACACGCCCAGGGAAATGCTGATCACCACTTTGGGGTCAAGAAGCAATTTTTCTCCAGGCCAGTTTGGCTGGGGATCCTGGAGTTTTTTGGCATCTTCTGGGCATGGAACAGGGGTCACTGCAGGTGTGGAGGTGTTTGTGAATGACCTGCATTGTGCAGAGGTTTGGATTAGATGGCCATGGAGGTCCCTTCCAACTCTATGGTTCTTCTATGAATCCTTTGGAATGTAAGCAAAGAGGAACAATCTGTTATTTTCAGAGGGAAGAGGTGCCACAGGCTTGGAGTAGGGTGCCCAACCTTCAGATGGGACCTGGAGTTCCCAGATTTGGAACTGATCTGTAGGATTTTGTGGCTTGTGGGGCAATTTTTTTTCTTCTGGTGGGGCTGAAGTTCTCAGTGCAGAAAGAAAAGCCATTTAGCCAATAGAAACCTGTTACCAGGATAGCTCTCTAAACTGCAGGCGGTCAGCCACTTTAGATGACAGTTCTCAGCTGCTGCAAGTTAATCCTTCTGCCAGCCTAAGCAACAGACCTGATAACAAGCCGGCAGGTGGGAGTGATGACTTCTATAATCAAGAAAGCTAACACTTAGGCAGAAAAACTCTCTTAAAGGAGACCAGTTTCTTGATGCAGAGTTAGAAGGGATCCTAGAGGTCACCTACTCCAACCCCCCCTTGCTCAATGAGGAAATTAGTCAACTGTAGCACCCTACTCTGCTTAAGGGAGCACACACCTTTAGAAATGTTTTAAAATGATTGAAAAAAAGCATTTACAGGAGAAATTCTTGTGGTACTGTGCCTTTAATAGAGGGGGTGGAGCCCCCCAAACCCCCACCTTAGCTTCGAGCCTGCAGACTACAGAGATCAGTTCACCTTAAGGAAATGGCATCTTTGAAAGGTGGACTCTATGGCATCACATTCTAGGCCTTCCAGCGGGATGCCCTGCTCCAGGTCCCTACCCCGGCATCGATCAGCTGGCTGGTGGGGACTTACTGGCAGCAAAAGCAGGCCTAGGCCTGCCTTGCTGGCTACACAGTGATGTCACTTCCAGCACACACTGGAAGTGTTGTCATCTTGTTGCCAGCAATTGAGAAAACACTTTATGGCAAAATGATTTCTAACATAGAGTTTTTGCCCGAACGCCTGATCATTCCCACATTGTTGGTGACACAGTGGTGGCACTTCCGTCACTTTATTTTGGCCTGGTGTCTAAAAGGATGTAAAGTAGGCATCAGGTGAGCCTCAAAAGGGAGGGTGTTCCAGAGGTAAGGTTGCCACCTCAGAAAACACCCTGTCTCTAGTTGTGTTAAATGGTGGGTTCCACGGATGAGCAGGCTCGAGTCTAGTGATCAGCTCAACTTTGTGATTTCAGCAGGGCTATTTTGGGGCAGGAATGAACGCACAGGAACGGAGTTCCGGCTGGCTCCCGAGTTGGCCACGCCCAGCAGGAACTCATTAGCATAATAGGCCACACCCAACAGCAGAAACTCATTAGGATTGGCTACATTAGGGGTGTGTGGCCTAACATGCAAAGGAGTTCCTGCTACAAAAAAGCCCTGGGTTTTGACAACAAACAAGGTAAACAGAATAAGAAGCAAAAGGTGGGTGTGGCTGGATTACCACACTTCTGGTAACATGGGGGTGCGGCCTAATGTGCTAATGAGCTGTGCTGTCAGGGGTGTGGCCTAATATGCTAATGAGTTCCTGCTGTTGGGTGTGGCCTATTATGCTAATGAGTTCCTGCTGGGCTTTTTCTACAAAAAGAGCCCTGGATCTCAGCAACAGCAAGACAAGGCTCCTGAGCCTCAGCTCTGTTAAACAGCATGCAATTGCCACACCCAAACACACCCCACTCACCGTGATAGGCTATTTACTACTAGACTGGTTACTTTCAGAATCCTGGCAGGCTATTGTTCTGATGCTCCAAGCTCAGCCAGTCTCTGGGGTGATTCAATCAGGAATGATTCAATCCCAATACATAACAAGTTGCCCCCACCAACCCTGTGAAGGCAGAAAGTAGGGCTTGAGAGGCAGATCTGAGAGATGTGGGAGTCCTCTCCAAGACAGAAGGAAGTCTGATATAGGAAGAAAGTATTTCTAACGTGAAACAGCAGGTGATGTGACTCTGTGACATGTGATTTACCTGCAAAAAGCAGCTGGGAAGTGAGGTCAATATGGATTGCGGTCAACGAGGTCTAGAAGGAGGCTTTTAAATTGTTCCCCTTCCATTGTTTCCCCAATTGAACATTGTCTGCAGGGAAGTGGCGTTTTTATTTAGGGGAGGGGCTGTGGCTCAGTGGTAGAGCATTCGCTTGGCACGCAGAAGGTCCCAGGTTCAATCCCCGGCATCTCCAGTAAAAGACCAGGTGAGAGGTGATGTGAAAGGCCTCTGCCTAAGCACCTTTCTCCAAAATGTCATGGCCCCAATTAGTGTTCCCTCTAAGCTGGGTTAAGTGTGAACTAGCTCACAGTTTTTTAGCCTCTGGCTCATACATTTTTGTCCTAGCTCAGGAAGGATGGCTCCAGACCAAACTAATTT